GGCTGGTTGCATTGGCGGGAAACGACCCTATATATAGTGCTCACCAGTAGACGGAGGGCAGTCCAGTCCTATCGTCATTCAGTCCACGTTCTTTTGAGTGACACCCGTCACCTGTTACTTATACTTATTTTATTTGTGTTGTCCCACCACTGTGGTGTATCTATGCAAGTACCTATTTATGTCTCTTTATGTGTCCATCAGTGTTTGCTTAGTTACATTTAAGTAATTCAGTGTGGTTTCACGATAGTTAATTTCAGTGTTAGTTATTCATATGTTTATGCAGTGTTAACGTAATCTAATGTTTTTATTTTATTTTTATGTTTAAAGCAGTTCTGTTGAAGTTTCGATTTAGTATCATTTGTGTCTTAAAGGTTTCGATAGTGAATCAATTTGTTGTGACAGCCTACGGGGCTCTATATTATTATTATTATTTAATTTCATTAAATTCTTAAAGGTATACTTTTTTTTTTTATTCCATTTTGATTTAATTCACTTTTTTTGTTTGGTTACGCTTAGAACCTTGCATATTAAAGTAAATTAATAGACGGCTTAACAATATATATATATATATATATATATATATATATATATATATATATATATATATATATATATATATATATATATAAAATCACTGTAGGTGCGCGTGATCTAGGTATATGCTGATAACCTGAGAAAGAAGAAAACACGTGTTTTCTTCTCCTGTGATTATATATATATATATATATATATATATATATATATATATATATATATATATATAAATATATATATATATATATATATATAAATATTGGCAGGAGAGAAGTGGAGAGGGCAGGAATGCTGCGTTGGCATGTTAAAGGGATAAGATGCAGTTTTCTTAGAAATTTTTTTTAGGGGCGGTCGTATGCATGTTTTTCTCAGCACATGAGGACAGTGCTGTCTTTTTTTAGGGGGGTCGATTGTAATATTCAGAAATTTCAGAGTAATTTCAAACACCGCGCCATTGGCGATACTGAGCTTTCAAGGTCGTCGGAGGGAAGAGAGCGCTCCCTGCACATAGCGAGAGGTTGTGGAACTAGGCCTAAGTGATATTAAATGTAATTTGCCGAATTAATAATGATGTGATTCATGAAGTTAAGGGACTATTATTGAATTTGAAATTATTATAGATCGTTTATCAGTCTGAATAATGTCACGGGTGTCCCAAGGAGTTATTAGTTAGGCGGAAAATATGTCACGTAGGCCTAAGCTAGCGCCTTGGAGAGACGCGACGCTGGCTGGTCCTCAGTCATGTGAAAGCAATTGGACCTACAGGACGTCCCTGCGCGTCCGTCCACAGAAATAGTCACGTGGCCTAGTCACCTGTGTTGCACTATTGCAGTATAACAAGTAAGTCTCATTCGATCTCAGACAGGGTTAGATAGGGCAGTGGTAAAGTTAACAAGAGCTAACAGTGAGTTCATTTCAGGGTTTCCGTCAGAACCCACTTGACCGGAGTTTGACTGCGAGAAATTGACTGCGAGAGTGATGACCGCGAGAAATTGACTGCCGTTTGAGACTGCCGTTGATGATTGAGGGTGGCGATTGTCGCCATTGGACCGATCAGTGTAGGCCTGTCACTGTTTAGCGGGGTATCAAAGGATCTCTTGAGGGAATCTAGCCGTCTGGGTGCCCAGCTGACGACGGGACGATCGTTGGGGTCATCAGCCCTCCTCTACCTCGGCTCACAACACCACATGTCTCGAGCAGCTCAGTGAAACCCTCTTGCTAACGGGAAGCTAAAGCTTCTCTCAACTGTACAAGGTCTGATTGGCTCACTCCCTTCCGTTTCATGGATGTACTGGGGGTAAAGTGAGGCCAGCTGAGTGATACGGGGTCGCACACTGAGACCATGAGTCTAGGGGATGCCTAGAGGAACATTTTATCTCCCTTATTACGGGTGTATGTTGAGTTGGGTGGAGCATGGTTCACGAGTATTGGTGGACCCAGTAACATATCAATAATAGTGACTATATTTGGGTGTAGTTAATACCATTTCTCAGTTACTGATACTATCTTAACGTGTGTAGCTTAATATTTCTTAAATAATTTTGATAGTATTTTTTTTGAATGTTTGTGTCGCTAAGTGGAACCAGAGTGATACTGTGATTTGATTCTTTTAATGCATCTAGTTTTTCTTCATAATTCCGATCTCAGGTATAACCTTTGTTCCCCAGAGTAGTGTTTAAGTTAGGTTAGGAATTGTGCATCTGTTGGTGTAACATAATTATATTGAGTGCCCTTAAGGCCTATTCATTGTAGAGTATTTAATTTCTATTTTTTTGATACCATTTCCTCAGTGACTGATATTATTTTGTTGAAAACCCTTAAGGCCTGCATCTGTTGGTGTAACATAATTATATTGAGTGCCCTTTAGGCCTATTCATGGTGGAATTATTAATTTCTTATTTTTGAATACCATTTTCTCAGTGCTGGATATTATTTTGTTGAAAAACCTTAAGGCCTGTTTCATGTGCGCAAGCAACATTTCTTAATACTTCAAATTTATTGTTGCCTGAGTTTCTAATAATTTCTATATCATGTATAACTTTTATTCCCCAGAGTAGTGTTTTAAGTTCAAGTTAAGAGGTGCGCATATTGGTGTACCATTATTTGATTGTGTTTGTAGAGTTGGAGGGAATATAAGTGTCTAAATTTTACAGTGTGTCTCATTCATCCCAGTCACAGACGCTATCCTTCCACGGGTCACGGACAATTCATTTTGTTTAGTAGATTCAAGTGTTCTTGTGCTGGTTCGGGATTTTTCTCAAAGGGGCGCTTGCACTGCCATTACCATCTATTAATCTTTAATAAACCCGAAGTCAAGTGAGAAAATAAAGTCCAGTAAATTCCGACCGGTTACATATATATATATATATATATATATATATATATATATATATATATATATATATATATATATATATATATATATATATATATATATATATATATATATATATATATATATAGTTAACCCTACACTATATGGATTAGCTTCAAAATCGTATTATACTTTTTATCCGTAATGGTGGTGTATATGTTCAAAATTAAAATCCTAAGATTAGAGTTGTTAAAATTTGAATAAATTGCATCTCTATTGCGTTTTACAGATTGTTTTTATCTGCTATAAATTTAAGTTATTAACATTTTAAACTGCACACGTACTTTATAGACACCCTTATATTGACCAAAGAATATTGGAAGTGGTAAGTCTAGCAAGGTTCTTAAGTAAACAAAAATACACTCCCAAGTGATAATCAAATAAGAATGGAGGAAACTGCAGCGGGCTTATTGGCCCATACTGGGCAGTCCCATTTACACCCAACCCCTCTTGCTCATATATCCATCCAAACTATGTTTGAAGCTATCCAGCGTATTCGAGTTAATGATGATATTTGGTAACTTTTTTTCCACCCGTCCATTACTCTATTTCCAAACCAATGTTTACCTATTTCACGACTAGAGAGAGAGAGAGTGAAGATACTAACTTTACTGTAGCTAGACCCACTTGTTTGTTTATGGCGGCCCACACAAAACACATCAACTATGATCAGCTAAGATATGTGTGTCATCGGACTTAACAGATGTGGCCTTGTGCTAAGAGGCGTGGCTTTAGTAAACACACATCCTATCGACATAGTGCTTATAGTCTCTATATTACAAGTATTTGAGTTTTAGCAATAAATAAAATAATATGTTTATAATATATCCCCAAAGAAAACTGTTCAGAAGTGTTACAGATGTTATTTTACGTGACATAACATTCCACAAACAATTGAGCGTACTTGATGCTTCTCCAGGCTTCAAACCTCATGGGTAACTAAAAAATTATCACACTAAACAATGTTTAATTATAATATTAATTGCAATGATAATAATGAGTCAGAGACGCATTTGTATCAGAAGTTTTAAGGATTAGTCAAAATGTAAATTCGCAACAATGTAAATATTTGCAAATATCAAGCGAATTTGTGTTATCAATCTCTCAATACTTTCTATAATTTCTATGAGAAATTACTTTCATTTACATTAATTTTTTGACCCATATAAATTTTCCATAAATTTTGCTGTCTTACAGAAATTTTACAAACTTAAATTAAAATTTTTCGTAAAGATTTCTTCAGTTGTAAGTATAATTCATTTTTATTTATCTCTTTTGGTTGTAATCTAAAAACACAACAAAGATAAATTAGATGATATCGAAGAAATGTTAACAGATCAAAATTTATCACCAAGCCGATACTGCGCCAAATTGAACCCCATTTTGTGGTTGTTTGGTAGATGACGAATGACAAAACATTCCCCGGACATGTACTGTACTGTATATATACAGGCGAAGACAAAACAAACGCATATGAAATATAGGGAATCCTGTATCGTTCATCTGTTTATAGCAAAGCGTGGTAGGTCCATAAAACTGTCAAGTACCAGGAGGGATATTTGGTGAGGACGGGATGTGACATGGGAGGATGCGCCCGGTTGTGGGTGGAGGGAGGTGTATTAACCTTGACAATTTTGCGGGACATAATTTTAGTGAATAAGCAAATAAATGTATATAGATAACATACACTTATTTTTTTTGTTTCGCCACATGTAACTTGCTAACACAAAACTAAAAAAAAAAAACTAATATCCCTCATGTACTCTCGCCCACCCATTTTAGTCAAAGAAGGCAAGCATGAACTTCTCATGCTTCCCTGTTGGGTGCCTAATAAACTAGCCCCCGCAAAGTTTGGGGCAAATCTGAAACCTGAAAACTAAGTCCTGATGTATTCACCAAACACAGACTGTTGTATAGCAACATCATGTTCACTTGTACGAAGCCTGAACAGTATTAAAGGGAATTGATTCTTACTATGTTTAGCAAACAAAAATATATTTGTGTGTAATATACACCATTATTTAATGTTAATAATAATGGTGGTCCGCTTTTGTAGAGAACTAGACATACAAAAAATGCATTCTTCACTTACTGTTATTAGACATATTGGAGAAGGCTCTTGGTAGACGTGAGTGTGTGTGTCCGGCGGTGAGCAGTTAATGGTACAGTGGGTGGCTGAGCAATGTCGCTACTAGCGCGTAGATCTGAGTTGCCATTTACTGCATGACAAATATTGATCAGAACCCTTAAAACTGTATTCAGGGAAGAACTTTATGGTGAATTAGAAACTAACAAACAAGTGTAAACGGGCACCAGTTAACTAGTGTTCACCATTTTACGATATTTCGAGTCAAACATGAGTGACGCAAATAACAAGATAGGTATACCGCAAGATGATGCCACTGGTTGACTAAGGCCCTCTTACATATATGCAGGTCTTGATGATGGCGTTGACTTATTGTGCTAGGACACCTAGGTGTACAAATTTGGATATATTCTTAATATATCAGGTATCTTGCCACCAATATTAAAGCAATGCTTCGACCTACCCCTAAAAGATGATATTTTTCTAAGTCTTGAAAGGAGTTCTTGAGTGTGTGGCTACACATTTTACGTGTTCTGTTGATCATCCGGAAGATTCACCGCAGCCGCCATACAGTCACTATCTAGCTACCCCGCTGTTCGTCAAATTCTGGCTGTGATCTCATCATAGGTCCTGGACTCGTGGGCAGTGTCCCCAGACCTTCACCTATCGACTGTCAATTCTCTGGTCATCTACCACTACCACATACCACGACCGTCAGTTCATCTCATTCCGTCTGTGCCCCGGTGTTCTCCTGCCATTTCAAGACAATCGGCCGAGTGTGGAGTTGAATGGACGCATCCCTACCCTGAGTTTGCATCACCGTGTTCCAGAACCTTCCCCCAAGGCCACTGCCGTAGGAAATATCTGTTCATTGTTTGATTCTATGGTTGTTTGATTCCATTAATTGCTGACTCCCCTTTATTGTTCGATTCTATCAATTGTTGACGCCAATTAATTGTTTGAATCCATTAATTGCTGACTCCCATTAATTGTTTGATTCCTTTAATTGTTTGCTTCCCTTAATTGATTAACTCCATTAACTGTTGACTGCATTAATTGTTTGACTCCCGTAATTATTTGATGTTTGTTGAGTTGTGTCAGAGTTTTGTTATATTTTTTATAGTAAAGAGATGTCAATCTCAAACGGTTGTTTGCTATTCCTCAGAAAACCATGGTCCTTGACTTTCCTTTATTAAGAACCTGGTTAGTCTGGTAAGCGATTTCAATCCCTAATTCCCAGGCCTTGACATCTGAGAAGTACTGTATAGTAAACAAGCCGCTGTTTACGGCAAAAAAAAATAAAATAAAATCCTACCAATTAAATTCTCCCCTAATCCGTGTCTCCCCTTGTCACCTCTTCCTTACCCCTCTCCCTCAACTCCTCTCCCCACCCCATCTCCTCCATTCACCTCTCCCCCAATTCCCTTTCCCCTATTCACCTCTTTCCAATTCCCTCTCTCTCATTCACCTCTCCAAAATTAATCCCCGCAACTCCTCTCTCCCCAGTCGCCTCTCCCCACTCACCTCTCCCTCGCTCACCTCTCTCTAACACATGGCCTCCCATTCACTACTACCCCACTCACTCCCCCCCCTCGTTCACCCCTCTCCCCCCCCCTCGTTCACCCCTCCCCCCGTCCCCTCTCAACCCAGTGACGAGGATGTGTTCATATAGTCACAATGACGATGCACTTTTTTGAAGGGAGGAGGGTAAGGCAAGTTTAGTTTAGTTTAATAAATTTATTGACAAAGCTTGGAGTACAGCTTGCCTATTCTGAGTAATTCAGTCAGGTCTTGACACTGAGGGTGGTATCACTTCTCACTACCACGCAGGACAGAGGTTCATTCACAAAGAAATAGATCATATTCATTAGCAGTATATATATAGGTCAGAGTCATGTGTGTGATGTCACTGTTCACTGCTATGCAAGACAGTGGTTCATATACATTGGAGGTCACATTCTAATTGACTAATCAGTGTGGGCTAGCAAATTTGGGATGAACAGCAAGAATGTCCTCAAGCACCCCCGATTCCATGTAGTAATTACAAAGTTCATGATACAATAACCCAGGTGGCCTGAGGTCTTTGACAGTGTCACATTCAATAATATAGTGTTCAAGTGTATGCTTTAAAGGTTTATCACAAAGTTTACATGCTGAGTGTTCCGGTATGGGTACAGTGTCACTAACTTGCCAGATGTGTCTGTATCCTAGCCTAATTCTGGCCACGACTACATCACACTGTCTGGTTTTGTCCTTATGCTGGCCATACCGGTATGTCTTGTCACAAAATTTGTCATATTTACTAATACTACAACTACCAGGTCTCTGCATTTCTCAGTTCTTCTAGATCAGAGTTCATGATTCTGACTTGCAAGTGATGATGTTGGGGGGAGAGAAGAAGCAGGGGAGGAGATGAGGGAGTAATATAGAGGAATGTAAGAGGACAGATTTAAAGAGAGGGAGAGGTTGAGAGAAGGGAGAGAATGAAAGGTAGAAAGAGAGTGGTTGACGACGGAGACCAAAATAATTAAAGAGCAATAATAAGGGTCCTGTTACATAAGCCACTTTCGTTTAACTAGAAAACATCTGTCTCACTTGTGTTCACGATGATATTCACTACGTTGACAGCGAGTAGTGTTTGTGTGCTGTGATTATTGTGATATATCTCTGTCTGTACATTGAATCTGCACGTATACAATTGCTTCATAATTAGTAAAATAATAATAGTTAAGTCAATAAAAGGGGACTAATAGTCTAAAAGTTATGAGCCAACGGTGACCAGGATTTGGATATATACAGGGTAGGCTGCGATAGCGGAAGCATGAATCGAGAATGAAGTTATGGACCTCTGTTAAGTGTGTTGGGGTCATGAGAAAACTATTTCAGCTGATAAGACCGCCTGTCAAGATAAGTGTTTCTAGGGTTGACAAACGCATTTAAAAGCATCATCTTCCCTGACCGTAAATTTCTAGTTGTTTCATGGCACAGGGAATGTTTTGACTGATATGAGGATTGTACCAACAAAACCAACAGCTCTTGAGAAACCATTTTATTAGGCACGATACAAGACCAAAAATATGAGTTAAGTGTGGCATTATCTGCTAGGGGGCTTTGGGATCCTCTCTTATATACTATCAATTTTGTACTGTGTATCATCTGGCAGAAAATATTTTATTCTTTTATAGATATAATTTGTTAGAGTAAATAAAAAAACTTAGTTCTCCTACATCTATCCTTTATGACTGCCATTCTTATATAAGACACTTCCCTCTGTAGCCCTATGTTGAAAATTGCCAGTTATGATGACGGCGCAGACTACAGAGAAAGAGGGAGATATCATAAGCAGTGAAAGAGGGAGAAGCACAGGGAGGAAGGAAAGTTGGGTGCAGAAACTCACACATTAGTTTTATCACTAACACCCTGGGACGTCCCGATTAGTGTGCGAATCCTTTTCACTACAATTGAAATTGATATATTGAAACAGTTTATTTAGCCAGGAAAACACAGATACAAAATCGACAATAATAACAATATTAACATGGCTGAACCAGTTGAAATCTATAATATAATGGTTTTAGTGGTACAATTTAAGCAGGAAAATAAAGTAGGTATTCCAAGAAAAGTAGAAGCAGTAGACCATTGGGATTACATTTGCCTAGTCCATTTCTCCCTATGGTTCCCTGCCAAATGTTAACATCTATGCCAACTCTGGCATTGAAGTCGCCAAGGAGCACAACCTTGTCTTCTCTGCGGATAGAGGTTCGCACTCTGTCGAGGTCGGCATAAAGGGCCTCCTTGATGTCATCTCCTGCATCTAGTGTTGGGGCGTATGCACTGATGAAGAAGGCATGACCCGAGTGATTCAATGGGACTCTGGGCGTCAAGAGGCACTCATTGATCCCAATAGGCATTTCAGTTAGCCTGTGTAGGATGCATTGGAGGATGGCAAAGCCAACTCCATTAATGTGGTTTCTCTCTGCAGCAGGGTTACCCTTCCAGAAGGTGTAGCCAGACCCCCGTTCTGTGAGTTGGCCTTCATCTGGGAGCCGGGACTCACTGATGGCTGCTCTGTCGATGTTATACCTAGCCAGCTCATTTGCCATAAGGGCAGTTCTTCTTTCAGGATGCACATTTGTGCCAGTACCCAGAAGGGTCCTGACATTCCATGCATCGATCATAATAGGTTGTATGGTTTGTTTTTGTTTAGATCTGTGATTTTGGTTGTGTTTTCGACCGCATAAGGATGACCTTACTGGGTGCGGTTGCCCAGTCAGGTTGGATTTTTAGGCAGGCTGTTTAGGGCACCTTTTCTAGCCCCTCCTCCCCATGTGCTCAGTCGCAAAGACAGGGCGGGATTGCACTGCTGCCTAGATTCCAGTGCATAAACTACCATCTTATCTGTGCCGCCCATGTGCAGAGTTGTGACTAGTGACTCCCGGTAGTCATCTCTGCCTGTCCCCGACGCCACTCGTTCATCGCCATAGAACTTTTGGGGGTACAGGGGTTTTGATGATGAGGAAAGGTATGATGAACTGTATGATGGCTGCACGTGAATTGATTTATGTGGTGAGGCAGAAGCGTAGGCTGCAACCACACATCTTGGCTCTCCCTTTTCCTGATCCAGTAGTGCAAGTGTTGCAACGACTGGGGAGAGGTGGAGTCTCAATGGACTGCCGATAGCCTAGTTTTTGGGGTTTCGCCTTAGTATTCTGTCCATCAGGCATTGCCTTCGTCCTCCTGTGTAGTCGTTGGGTTTCCATGGTGGTCACCTCTTCCGTCTGCACTGCCGTTGGGGTTTTGTTGGAGCTCTATAAGCATGTCTACCTGATGTGGGGCTCCACCGCAGATTTTTCGTTCAGGGTTTACTCTCGTAGCCTTATACATACCAAGGTTAATCCGCAAGGCAGTGGGGCAGTGGTTGGTAGGCGCCAGGACGTGTCCACCTGCCAGTGTGCTTATGCGCCGTCCTTCTGGGGCCCACTGCTGCTTCGATATCCCCTGCTGATTTAGCCTGGGCCCACGAGGCACCCAGTTACCGTGTGTTGCCACGAGGTGGCAGCAGGAGTCTTGAAGGTGAGGAGGTTGTGTACTGGCAGGGAAG